CAATTAATCTCTAATAAAGAAATCTTTCATAATTGAGTAATAAACCTAACTATTTGTCATTTGATTGAATTTAATTTCCTGTCTAAATTTAACCTGATCAGGAGATCAGAACTGGATGTTCAGTCATTTCTGAAGCTTAAGTATCAATAAATGTGTTTTTCTCTGTTGGTTTGGTTTTCACCTTAAATTGGTTGAACTTGAAGTAATAATTTTTCTGTTTCTTCTCTCTTCTCCGCCCCTCCTCCTCCTCACCTGACTGCAGGTCTCCATGTAAAAATGGCGGTCTGTGTGAAGACGCTGATGGTTTTGCATCAAAGCTGACCTGTCTCTGCCTGGCCGGTTTCACTGGACAGCGCTGTGAGACCAACGTAGACGACTGTCAGATGACGCCATGTGCCACTGGGGCCACCTGTGTGGATGGCATCAACCGCTTCTCATGCCTGTGCCCCGCCGGCTTCACCGGACGTTTCTGCACCATCAGTCTGGAGGACTGCTCCAGCCGGCCCTGCCTGAACGCTGGCCGCTGCCTAGACCGGGCCAGAGGTTTCCACTGCGTCTGCCAACCTGGCTTCACCGGAACAACCTGTGAGATACCAGTGAACCGCAGCAACGCCAGCATCAACGCCAGCATCAACGCCAGCACAAACTCCAGCACAAACCCAGGCCACCGGAGTCCAGGCTGGGAAAGACCTGTGTATGACGACAGGCCACTGAAAGTGACTGTCAGTGAGCGCAGCGCTGCCAGCCTGTCAGACCTGCAGCTGCTCGTTGTTCTGGTCCTGCTGGGTGTGACTGTGTGTGTGGTGCTGTTGACTGCCATCCTCATCATGTGGGGCCGCTGCAGAGACTGTGGACACGCCCCCTGCTGGCCATCACCATCACAACAAGGTGAAAGGAACAGCCGACAAGCACCACGTGATGATCCGGAGAGTCAAAGCAGCTTCCTGACCGCAGCAGAACCACAGAAGAAGAAACTCAACGTGGAAGTGATTCAGACTTAGTTTCACCTCAAAGGGTTCAGCTACTTCCTCTCTGCTTGAATGTGCTCAGAACTGGACTGAACTGGGCCCGATCAGCAGCAGGTGAAATCTTGTCTGTCAGGATCAAAACATCTGAGTAGTTCTGGAAACAGAAGACGTTCTGGGTTGGTTGGAGAGGAAAGATCCACAGAAAAATTACAAGAGAAGAAGCAGACAAATGTATCTGTTTGGTGTTTCTGAGTTTGAACTGAATGAAGCTGAAACACTGAACTGAAACACAGTGATGTCATTGTAAATACTGTATATTATTATTTATTGTATAATGGACAGAATGTGTTCAGCCCAGAAGGACTAACAGTAAAGTTCAGCTCCAGAACCGTTCTGATCATTGTTCAGTTTTTCTCTGCTTTATTTTTGATCACATGATCCAAATCCATCCTGCCAACAAACCGTTGGAGCAGATATGTTGATACAGAACAGAAAGGGTGACACTGTTTCTGCACTCTGACACACTTTTTTACCTGCTGGGATCAGTTTTACTGATGAATAATTCACCCTTCAAGATGTTGTAAATCTAACACAGTGTTTCCCAAAGTTGGGGTCGGGACCCAAAGTGGGGTCCAGAAACTTCAAGGTGGGGTCCTGAAAAGATTTTCTGAATTAATTACATTTTTGTCTTAGTTGTTACAAAGGAGTGAGGTTAGTGTATTTAAAATGTATAAATATAGTATAAAAATATTGTTACTAAGCCCATGTTTAGTTGACCTGATACAGTTTATCATCCAAAAACAGTTGGGGGCTCAGGTCTCTGCTGTTATTTTGTGGGTCAAAAGCTGAAAAGTTTGGGAACCACTGCACTTTGGTTCCCAAAGTTGGGCTTGGGACCCAATTATGGGTCTTGAAGCACCTTGGATAATCTCCAGAAATCAATTTAAAAGGTAATAAAATAATTGATGATGTAATATTTTCCTTATAAATATTACAGAAACACAAAATAAGTATAAATAAGTATTTATATTTGTGTACAAACTGTTTAGATTGTCAAAAAGCCTGTGTTTTTAGGGTTATTAACAAAGTTTGTGTACTCAGACCAGTAATATTTGGGGTCACAAGTTTTTGCCATGGATATTTTGTGGGTCCGAAGATAAAATGTTTGGGAACCACTGCTCTAAGGTGAATAAAGATTAAAATGAGATTTTAATCTTGGGTACTTGTGCACTGACAGACAGCTGAATATGACCTACCAGTGGCCTGAGAGGGCAGGTCTGAAGGACAGCACAGGAGCAGGCCATGAGCACCAGACCAAATGAGACCTAGACCTACCAGACCAGGCAAGATCCCTGGTGTAGACTGTGCAAAGAAGCCCCAGAAACAATCCAGCATCTCACAGCAGGGTGTAAGATACTAGCAGCAAAAGAATACATGGAACGCCATAACCATAGTGTACAGCAGTGTTTCCCAAAGTTGGGGTCGGGACCCAAAGTGGGGTCCMGAAACWTCAAGGTGGGGTCCTGAAAAKATTTTCTGAATTAATTACATTTTTGYCTTAGTTGTTACAAAGGAGTGAGGTTAGTGTATTTAAAATGGATAAATGTAGTATAAAAATATTGTTACTACAGTATGTCCATGTTTAGTTGACCTGATACAAATGTTTATCATCTAAAAACAGCTGGGGGCTCAGGTCTCTACTGTTATTTTGTGGGTCAAAATCTGAAAAGTTTGGGAACCACTGCACTTTGGTTCCCAAAGTTGGGCTTGGGACCCAATTATGGGTCATGAAGCACCTTGGATAATCTCCAGAAATCAATTTAAAGGGTAATAAAATAATTGATGATGTAATATTTTCCCTATAATTATTACAAAAACACAAAGTAAGTATAAATAAGTATGTTTGTGTATAAGCTGTTTAGATTGTCAAAAAACCTGTATTTTTAGGGTTATTAACAGAATTTGTGTACTCAGACCAGTAATATTTGGGGTCACAAGTTTTTGCCATGGATATTTTGTGGGTCAGAAGATAAAAAGTTTGGGAACCACTGGTGTACAGAAGTATTTGTGCAGAATACAAACTGGAGACCCCTATAGGTCAACGTGGGAATCACTTCTGTGGTGATGGAGAATGACCGAGCTAAGATCCTATGGGACTTCCAGTTTCAAACAGACAAGACAGTAGTGACCAACCAACTGGACATGTTGATGTGGCCATCCCCAATGATGGAAACTTCAGGAAAATGGAACACAACAATCTGGAGAGACACTAAGGGCTCAGGGAATAACTAGAATCAGCCTGGCAGGTGAAGGCAGCTGTGGTCATCGGAGAACTTGCTCCTCTCTCAAATTTCCCTCTGTTCGCTCTGTCTCTTCTCTCACAACCCAGGTTGTACGTAAACAAACCACATCACCAGCCAATCACAGACATGTTATTTTCATTTAATCAAAGCACGTCTTGCAAATCAAGTAATGAACCAAGAGTCAGAAGTGACATAATTTTATATATATTAAATCTGTGAGATATATTTTATAAATTTTGTAGCCCAGAATATTTAGTTTAGCATACAAATATGCTTAATGTCATTGTGTATTTTAGGCAATGTCATGATGCATCTCAGTAATCCAGGTATAAAAAACAATGTTAAATATTGCCTTTAATACACAATGACAGTGACCACATTTTTATGCTTGATTGGTTTTTCTTGGGCTACAAAATTTGTAAAATATATTATCTTTTACTGATTTAAAATATCTAAGATTTTGTCATTTCGCCTCATGGTACAGTACTTTGATTTGCAAGACATGCTTTGATAGGATAAAAAAAAGATTGGCTGGTGATGTGGTTCATTTACATACAACTTGGGTTGTGAACACAGAGACAGAGCTGTGATCGAGCAGAGTGAAAATGGAGAGGAGGAGGCTGGGAGGGAGGCGCGCGAGTGTGTGAGTGATTTGAACGCACACGGTTCATATTATTGTTCATTCATGTTGTATCTATGAAGCCAGATGGGTCTCAAAATGTTCTCATGAGCACAGAACAATTCATGTGTGCACAGGAAGTTCCACATGTGCACAAGAGTTCATACATGTACAGGACAAGATTTACTTACGCGTAGGACCAGACTCATACGTGCACAGAGTAGTTCACATGTGCACAGGAATACATTCAAATGTATATTTCTAATGTACACAGAGATATATCTATTTTCAAAGTGCTGGTACTCTGTGACCGTGTTTTAAACAGGAAGCATTGCTGTTTTTGTTACTGGAGTTTAATGACAACAATGCTTACAGTGTTACTTGTATGCTCAGGATTCTAACAAAGGTGTGTCTCAGTCTACCTTTTATTTATTTAGTTGTTTATTTAAAAAAACAACCTCAGGATATTGTCAGTCTTGAAGTAGACTAAGATGTACAGCTGCTAAATGACCTATCTTAAAAAAATCAATGCATGATTAGAATATGATCAAGGTTCTAGGGATTTCTCTGTGCTAGCAGTGCTTTATTTGGAAACGTGACATGATGTGATACCTGTCACTCAATAAATGCTCCAATAAATAAACAGATTGCCATTTTTGCATTGAGTGTGTTGATACTGTTTGTATAATGCAGTTTGCTTGGCCGAGGCTTTACAGAACATACCTGAGGATAAAAAAACATCATATTATGTCCACTAAATGTGACACATTATGGTTTTTGTAGAAAAAACCTCTGCAGAGCAAAGATCGGTATAGAGACTGGAGGATAAGGAGGGATAATAAGGGAGGGGGGCACAGGGATTTACGAGCAAAGGCAGTGGGATAAAGGGAAGTGTATCTGAAGCCATGAACTGTTGTATGCACATGAATGAGCATCTGAAAATAAAACCATTTGTAACCAGTCTCTGAACAGCACCGCTCAGCCATGGTCCAAAACACTGCTGTTACTGTTTGTCTGTTTCGACCTTCAGCAATGCTTCCAGATACCGGTTCACACACAGGAGTGTGGGAGGGAGAGGTGGGCCGAGTGTCAGTCAACTAAAATACCCTTGGAGAGTTTGATATTACGCAGGCTTCAAGGCCAAGTAAGGGGTGCTAAATAAACAATCACAACTGTTTTAGAACAAGTTGACACAGAAGATTTGCCTTCAATGTCTCACTAGGACTCTCAATGGCAAAAAAAGACAAGTGTGTACATTAAAACATGTTTGAATGCATTCCTGTGCACGTATGAGTCTGGTTCTGTGCACGTGTGAACATTTTGAGACCCATCTGGCTCCATAGATATCTGCTCTCAAATCAATGTTACTGCGTGCTCAAGCTGGTGGCACAATAATACTGCCATACAGGAGGGGGGAAGCAGGTAGGTAAGAACCAGGAAGGTTTTTATGGAGAAGATATTGTGATTTAGCAGTTAAGTTGTGCTTACACATTCCAGGAGGAGGTGACAGAGCAGAGGAGAGGGTAAGGTAAAGAGTGAGCCTCTTTTTCCGTAGCAGAAGTCTGCCAGTAGACGTGAGGTCTGGGATAATTTAGACCTTGGCATCCTGAGTCCTAAATCTGTGTGAAGATTTGGTTCTTTAACCCGGGTGAGTCCAGAATCAACCAGAAGACAACAAAGTGGCACCCCTGAAGCTGCGCTGTCAACTGATCACCACACCTGGTTAGGATTAGATGGTGAGGGAGGATGCCAGACTGACCTGGAAAACCAAAATGTGCAGTGAGGGTTTGATGGGAATGCTCAGCAGAAGAACATATCAGGAGGATTTTCAGCTTCCATCTCCTTGAGACCTTCAACTACAGCCCATCAAAAGCAGGGCCTTGCTTCTCAAGCTGCTGCCGCTGCAATCTTGACACAAGCTCACAAGACTCGAGCTCACACCCTCACACGAGCTCACAAATGATACCATTTTTATTGCCCCACATTGCATCACAGAAAGGCACACTCCCCTCAGATGCAGTGCCCCCTCTGTGTGGAGGAAGTCCTTCAGAGATCTACATTCTAAGTCCTGGTACAGTTTTCTGAGGCTCCACCTGTTGAAACCGTCTACCCTTTATTAGGTGAGGTACTAGGTGAACACTATTATGCACTAAGAATACGTCAATAAATTCACTCATTAACATAGTAACTGATCAATCTTGCTCATGTTAAAAATACTGGTAAAGAAAATAAGGTGTGGAAAGTGAGAACAACTCAAAATTAGGAATGTGTGAGGACTTCTGAGGTGTCACAAATATACCATTTTGTGTAGTAAAAAATGTGAGGTTTTATCTCTTTTTTCATTAAGGCTGTGTGTGAGCTTTTGTCTGCACACCGCTGGCCCTGCAACCCGATTCCAGAACAAGGTAATGGATGAATGAATGGATGGGTGATGTCATTACATGGTAAATGGACTGTACTCCTACAGCTCCTTTCTGTCCAGCCAGGATACTCACAGCCCTTTACACTCATCTGTCTTCATTTATCCATTCACACACATTCATTCAGCACTCTTTACTAAGCTAATCTGAATAAGTTCTTCTATAGAGACTAATCAGTGCTTTTAGATAACATTCATTCACTGACACGACACATCAGAGGCAAGGAAGTGAAGGAAAATATATTCATTTGTATTGAGTCTTAAGGGCATTTCACATATACATAATTATACCCGAGATGTTTAGAATATTATTATAGAATAGTTATAACTGTAGTATTTTCCTGCATAGAAATCATCATCAGATTTATACCGTCTCCCTGACGGCACAGAGGAGGAAGAAAAACCCCACTTTTAACCTCAAAAGACTATTCCTAAGGATTTTGCATGGAATTTCATTTACGGCTTGAATTAACATCTCTCACACCTTCAACCACCAGACTTCCTGATGCCTTACAGTTAGTTGATAAGAATCGCCACATTCTTGAACCCCCACAAGTTTTGAGTGACCTTATAAGGACAAGACTGTCTTTGTTCCTCTTCAAAGGGATCATAAATTCCTTTCACCCGACTCTTCAGCTTGACTGAGAACAAATGAATCTACCATTCTTGATTAAATAAAAAAAGGACAAGAAAAGAATGAATGTTTTCATCCAACTGTTTTCATATATCTGAATCAAAGAAATGTGACTTTACCTGTTTCTTACAGAAAAGAACTAAAAAGACTATAAAATATCTACTAAGTTTTGTTTAATTAACTATTCATACAGTAAATTACGTTTCAAGTAGGATGGTAGTGTATAGTGTTAATTGTTTGGATGAAATGTTTTCCTGAATAAGATGTGTGTTTTATTCCATGATTTAATCTTTAGAAACTTAGGACTTGAATTTTAATAATTAACTGTGATAATTTTATCCCCGATTCAAAACCCAGATGTCTCCTCTTCCCTTTTTAGGTGAATGCAAGATAAACTAGAACACACTCTTTTCTTTGTTTTCAAAGTAAAATTTAACTCCATCAGATTTGACTCGCTGAGACCTTTTTCCTGCATAAGGTATAACATTTTTATTGGCCAACTAACAACTTAACTTCGTCCCAAACAAAGGTTTTTAAAAAGTCAGCGCACTCCCAAATTAGAGAGAAGAAGAGTAAGAGTTGGAAGATTTGAATATCAGCAGCAGAAGACTTCAGAAGCTTCAGCAGAGACCGACCCTGTCAGCCCCTCCCATGGCTGGCCAGGTTACGGGCTCTGCATCTCCTGCTGGTCTGGACGTATAGCCACCGTTTCACATCGACTCAACACCTGAGCTTGATTTTCATTGAAGTCAATAAACTAATTTAACTCATACGTCGTTTTAGTCAGTTTTGCCTCTACAAAGACTGGATAAACTCTCGCTCCGAAGCATCCCATGGAGAGACAAAGTCTTCCCACTTTCTCCAGCTGCTCACCACCCACCTTTCTGACTGAAGGACCAGCAGCTGAACAGACACCCTGAGTGTCCGACCGGCCACCACACTGAAGCAGTTCTTCGGGAAACATCACCTGAGATCCTTCGGTCAGCCGACGACTACTCCTGGTACCACCATCAGCAGAATAACAGGGTATGGAAGATAACAGTTTACTGGTGACAGACAAGGTTTTCAGTTTAGAGTTGATTCCTATCTTTGCATGACGTTTGATAATCTGAACAATTTCTCTCCCTAATTTAACTAGGATCCCTTAATTCAATTCTCAGCTAAAGCAAACTCCCCTCACGTCACTCCAACCTCAAAACCCCGTTAGTGTTTATTTTGTTGTTTGTTTATTTGTTTTTGTTTGCTTGTTTGTTTTGTTATTCACTCATTGCTCAAATATCTCTGCATTCTTCTGGTTCAGAATGTCATCATTTCCTACTCGCCATAGCTGTAAATACATTTAATCTGTGAATAAATGACCCGTGGAGAACTGGTCAAYATGAGACAACGTCTAATTTTCTGTGTCTTGATAAGGTTTTATTGATTCTTCTAAGAAAAGAACTCATCAGATTATTTTGGGTAGATTTATTGTGAGACTGATTACAGTAAAGTTACAGTTTTTCTTCTCTTTCCTGTGTAATAATAACAAAATAAAAGGGAAGTGGTGCCTCGAGGTAAGGTAATTTACTTATTTAAATAATTCATAAATTATCCATTTTAAAATATACCCAAGTTACCCCTACATAACCAAGGTGTATTCTTTCCATGATTAGGTTGTTATTCTGAGGGATTATCTAGTTACATGTCTTGTTTAGATACGACACAATCAGACACAATGTTTTTAATGAGATTTCAGTATTTTGATTGAGAAGTGAGTCACCCAGTAAGTGAGGTCATGAACCCCCCTTTAAGGATGTCATTTTCAGGAGGCTTGACTCAGTTCTGGACACTATCAAAAGGTAATGTGTTATGATGAATGATTTTAACTGCCAAGGGCCACACAAGCTCTGGGTGAGGTGGAATTTTTAGATCTGAAAATAAACATCCAACTGAGATGTACGATGCTTTTCCCCTTATCTTCCCTGCTTTGCTGCTCAGAGCAGCATTACATTTTCTTACAAAACCAGAAATTATGAATATTTTTATTTTTCTTAATAAAATTTTGAAACCAATTTTCTACCATGGGAGGACATGTCAAAGGTGGGACCTCTGTTCTTCTCTGTTCTGGATATACAATATATCTGGACTCTGATCAATGGATTCTGCAGATTGGCTTGGTGGTCTCCTGGTGGTCTACAAAACAGCGTCGGTGGCTGTTCATCTCCTGACTGACTGACCAATATGAAGGATTGCCGTTCTATCAGCACTCAGACATTTGCCTTGAGCAAGCTGGACTTGGTCTGCAAGTGGTTCTGCTGAGGGTCGCGGACCGGCTGTGGTCCCTGGACTTTGCTGGCCAGATGGAACTGATCTTGGAGAAGCTGAGAGCTTGGGAATGTCCACACTGTCTGATTGGATTCACCACATTGGATGTACCAGCGGACATTAAGGCAGATGACAAATTATTACTGTCTGCCTGACCGAAAACATTTCTTCTGTTCCCAAACAACTGATTCAGCTACAGATACATGCCCCCTAAACTCACTTCTCTGGCTAATAAATGTGTTCTTACTCTGCATTGTTTTTTTTTACAAATACCACAGTGTGTCACATTTAGTGGACATAATATAATGTTATTGTTTTTTTCTCATCTGTCCTAATGTGGTATTTTGTTTTTCTTTCATGATGATGATCCTTGCTCTGTGCGGGGCAGAGTTGTAAAGTAACTAAGTACAAACACTTCTTTACTGAACTTAAGTTGAATTTTTGGGTATCTGTACTTTACTTGAGTAATTATTTTTCAGCGTACTTTTTACTTCTACTTCTTACATTTTCACACAATTATCTGTACTTTTTACTCCTTACATTTTTAAAAAGACAAGAAGTAAAAAGTTATTACTTTTATTTAATTTCTGCTTGTTTTCATTGCAGCTTGTTGTTGTAAAAAATAAAAACTATCCATATAAACTGAGCCTCCTAGATAGAGTGAATTTAACTGTGGTTGAATGAGAAGTATAAATATATCACATACTTTAACACTTTTAATACTTAACTACAACAAATATCACATACTTTAACACTTTTAATACTTAACTACAACAAATATCACATATATGTCTTAGTTGCTTGATGATGTCATGCAGAAACAGACCAATCAGAGTCCTCTGTTCTTACGAAGCTGTAAACAGTTTTATTATTGTGACATCATAGCAGCAGAACAAATCAACAAAAACACAAATACATTCAGTAGAAACAACACACCTGTGAAACAATCACCTGTCTGCAAGCCCCGCCCCTATCCCAGGTGCAAACCTAAGATCATGCAGAGCACGTGATTGGCTGCAAGCCATCAAGTGAAGTGAAGTGCAGAAAAACAAACATTCATCCAGGAAGTGAGAGAATTCTAAGTGGGTGTGACTTTGGGAAGGGTCACATTTCAGTCTCAGCCAATAAGCTCTCACCTAGACCTGAAGTCAGCATGACCATCTGGGGTCCGGAGTCTGTGGGGTCAAAGAACAACACATTTAGACCTTCACACCAGCTTTCCTGGTCCACTCTTATTAATCACTTTCAGGATCAATAAAACTGCCCATTCAGGAGACTCTGTCACATTCATTATTAAAAGGTTTGTGTAATTTAAGGCCCGGCCCAGTCCAGCCCAGCCTTGGTTCAAACCCTGCTGTGGACCATTTCCTGCCTGACTTCTGTAAACCGGAGACCTGGTGTTTTACTCAGGCTGTGCTGTTGTCTGGTTCTGTTTCAGCTGCTCTGACACTGTGGAGAGAATGTAGAGAAGTTCCACGAGCTCCACGTCGTCCATCATTGTGTCTTTTATTACTTTTTTCATACAATCATCCCCGCCCACACTGAGGCAGCACTCTGCTCAAAGCAAACACAACTAGGACTAACCAAACAAATATAACCAGGACTAGAGTAGAATAAGGCAAGGCCAGACCAAGCCGGGCCGGGCCGAGCCAAAACATTTGTCCAATAAGTCCTGATACATCTCAGTAATCCAGGTAGAAAAAAATCAAAACGAAAACATAAATAGGTCCTCTGGATGGTTCTTCTCAGCAGTCAGGAGGACTGTGATCAGTTATATATTCAAAAGAATGAGCCAGCACAGACGAACTACTTCGTCGGGTCAGGACTCTGCAGTTTACACTCATCTACAGGTCAGGACTCTGCAGTTTACACTCATCTACAGGGCAGGACTCTGCAGTTTACACACATCTACAGGTCAGTACTCTACAGTTTACATTCATCTACAGTCCAGGACTCTGCAGTTTACACTCATCTACAGGTCAGGACTCTGCAGTTTACACTCATCTACAGGCCAGGACTCTGCAGTTTACACTCATCTACAGGTCAGGACTCTACACTTTACATTCATCTACAGTCCAGGACTCTGTAGTTTACACTCATCTACAGGTCAGGACTCTACAGTTTACACTCATCTACAGGTCAGGACACTGAAGCTTACACTCATCTACAGGCCAGGACTCTGCAGTTTACACTAATCTACAGGTCAGGACACTGAAGCTTACACTCATCTACAGGCCAGGACTCTGCAGTTTACACTCATCTACAGGTCAGGACACTGAAGCTTACACTCATCTAC